TGATACTATTTCCATGTACTTGAAAGTATTCAATTGATTTCATAGTGCGTATAAAGTTTTCTTTTTAACATTGTAATAGAGGGATTCTCATGTGATCAAAATAGTTATATGGCCCCACCGTAGGCTATGGTAGATTGTAGAAGTCCTGGGGTAGATCATAACTTACTTGTCTTGTTGGATATTTAGCATTTTCTGGTTTTATTATTAGATACAATCTTATAAAATTTAGAAATAAAATAGCAAATCACTAGTCCTTCTGCCTAAAGCTTTTTTCTGTTTTCAGGACTGTTCCCTTAGAGTCGAGTCCCAGTAGCAGACCGCAGAGTGCAAGCATTCCTAAGACTCATGGTGCTAGCTGTCAGATTGTTTATGCTGCATCCGCACGTGTGTGTTGGGCGTTCCTACTTAATTCTACTTTCCTGATTTTTTTGCTATTTTAACGCAAAATTACATTTTCAATGATAATTGCATTGTACCAATTAGCTTTCTGCTACTGTAACAAATCCGCTAGATAACTGGCTTCTCAGAGGAAAGGTCTGTTGTGGCTCATGCTTTTGGAGATTTCATGTCATGATCAGGTAGCCCCATTGTTTCTGGAAGGACTATGTGGGGGAGGGAGAGACGAAAGCCCCACAGTTCCCCTTTGAGGGTGCCCCAGTGCCCTTCACCACTTTCTCACAGTGCCACAGGCTGTGCATCACGTCTTCCATTTGGGGGCCACTTGCAATCCCAACTAGAGCATCCGCTTGACTTAGCCTTCACCTGTGCCCCTTTTTCATCTTGGAACTCTGGGCTCTGCCTCCCTGTAGAGAAAAAGATGGATATATCCTCCATTGGAGAGAATTGCTTCTTGACTGGGTATGAGAAAGGAATTACCACCAGCTACGGTGTTATCTCCTATGGGACATTTTTTATTCAGCGGTCCTGGCCTGTATGTATCACAGTGCTCAGGATGTAGACACTGAAGCAGGGAGGAACCCACAGACCCTGTGGGTTTACGGCAGAATCCAGCTTTCATTTGGCACCTAGCATTCAGCACCTGTGAAGTAGCTGGTGCAGTACTGTCTATACTATGGAGTCCAGACAGAGAGGGAAGTGGACAGAAGATGCTAGAAACACTGCCCAGCCCCTTCCTAGGGGAAACACTAGGCTAGAAACACTGCCCAACCCCTTCCCACTCCACGTCGAGTACTGAGTGTAGGAAGTGATCACACAGACCACTCAGCAAGGCAGAGGTTGCTCAGTCCCTAAGAGCTGACAGTTCTGAAGGGTCCTCAAAGAGCCTGGAAGGGAAGGCTCCACTTTCCTAGGCTGATCCCCACAGCGCCACACCCCAGTGATTAATATTCATGTCTGCAGGGAATTCTGCAGCACCCTGGAGCGACTTCCAAAGCATCAAAAAGATTAAACGGGCCATTTCATATGGAGACTCTGAGGTTCTGTTCTGCTACTTTGCAAAATGAAAATGCGAGGGCTCTGTCCCATTCTTATGCTAATGCCCCTGCCTTGAGTTAGGCTGGCTGAATTGGACTTACTGCTGCAGAGCAGCCATTCTTTCTTTCTAATCTTTTCTCTTTCCTGTGTCAAAGCTCAGCCTCAAGGCCTTTGTCACAGTAACAGGCGGCTTTGTTCTGTGTGGGGACTTCTGTTCTTTGTCCTGCTGGGCCTCACCGCTTTGGTCACGCAAATACACGTTGCTAAGAAATGGAAGATCAGTTCCACTTCTGCTTTGCGCCTGGGAAAACATCCTTTGGAAGGCGACGTGTATGTCAGGGGCGGGCGAGCTGTGGTAACAGACCCCAGCAGGTTAGGACTCTACCTGTGAACACAGGACTGTGCTGGAGAACGAGCATCTGCTCTTGAGCTCTTGCTGGAGCCCTGACCCTCCAGGACTCAAAACTCAAGCAACTTAATGAAAGTGTTTGCTATTCGCATTCTTTGCCATTTCACAGTATTGGTAGAAAAGACTCTGATGTGCTTGAGCTACTGTGGACTCTGTACAGTGCTGAAATCCGTGCTCGGCTCCTATACCTGCTGTCATGAAGCACCACGGACCTAGCACTTCCGACAGCCTCTTCGCATCATCCTGCCCTTCTGAAAGTCAGGAGCCTGAAGGCAGTTTCTCGGGGCTGCTATGAAGGCTGTGTGGCTTCAGGGGCTTATAGGGAAAGTCCTTTCCTGGAAGCGTCCTATCCCTGGGCGCACTGTGCTCTTCACCTCCGGCCAAGTCCAGAGGTCAGGTTGGGTCGTGTGCTGTGGGTCTCCAGGGTCTCAGTCTCTTCTAGTATAAAGATCTGCCAGGTATTCGGGGCCATGCAGACAATCCTGCAGAACCCTTCCATCTCCATAATCACATCTGCGAGCTGTCTCTTGCTAGGTAAGGCACCAGAGCCAGAGGGTCCAGGGACTCGGATGTGTACAACAGCACCCGCCAATGTACGAGATCACGGGGGCCCATGCAGACCTGAGCCGCCCTGCTAGGGGAAGCTGGCTTGGCTTACCATGCGTGCAGCTGTGTTCTTTTTAAAGGAAAAATTTTGTGCTATATCAACATCTGGGAGAATAAGAGAAAACATGCAGATTTATTTTTAAAGATTTAAGGAACTTTTTCACATTTGTGTGTATATGAATGCTTTAAAGTGTCTGATTTAGGAACATGTTCTAGGCTTGATATTTTATTATTGGATTGAAATCATCTCTCAGGAGTTTTTTTGTTTTTTTTTTTTTTTTTTTTTTTTTTTTTTTTTTTTTTTTTTTTTTTATTTCTAGACAGGGTCTCACTATGTAGTTCACATTGGCCTTGAACTCATATGTAGACCAGGATGACCTTGAATTTGCGACAGTCCTCCTGTCTCAGCCTCCTGAGTGGGGGGGTACAGGTGGACACTACTGTGCCTGGCTCTCAGGAGCCCTGTCACCACAGCTTCCACCTTTACCCACCCACAGAAGAATCTCTGTCCTTGCTGGCTGCAGTCAGCCCCTCACTGCAAGAGAAAGGAGACCCCTTCCTGCCCGCCCAGGTCCCTAGGTCCTCTCTGCCAGTGGGCA